TTAATACTTAATTAATAAATTTTATTTTTTAAGTTTTGACTTGTTTTTTTTATAATTAAATTAATTTAAAATTTAATTTTTTTTTGTACAATTTCCTTAATAAACAACTTGTTCACGAGACTAATGAAGAACGAGTTTGCATTAGTCAAACTGGTTTAATGGCTTTTCGCTTGACCCTGTCGCCATCTTGTGTCAAAAATCAGAATAAATTTTTAATTTTTCAAATTTAAACAATACTTTAAAATTGAAATTAAATAGTTAAAATAATTTGTAAAGGCTACATTAAATATTTAGGTAATAAAGTTATTTTATTTTATTTTATTTTTTGCTAATTTAGTATGAAGGTTGTACATCAATTAAAAGAAACTATTCATTGTAGTACAGTAGACCCCCTATAACACTGTAGATAATTCCGTGTTATATGAATTCCATGTTGTACGAATTACTTAGATTTTACAAATACGTGAGCCGTTCACAGCCTGGCGCATGTATTTATAAAATCTAAAGTGATTCGTACAACATGGAATTCATATAACACGGAATTATCTACAGTGTTTATAGGGAGGTTTACTGTAATATGTTAATGGAAAGTAATGAATGTTATAAATACATTCATTAAATAAGCCGAAAAGTAATTACAGTATATAAATATATTTATAAATTTTAGCTTCGAAAGCTTAATTTTTATACTTGAAAGTAGTTAATTTAGTGTTTTAGTTGTTTAGTTCTTGAAAGGAATATTTATTCCCTTAACAAAATAGTTTCATGACATGACATGAAAATGTCAATGAAAATAAATAAAATGAATGGCCTTCCACGGAAATAATCTTGTAAAATTGATAACAAGCCAATTTTCAAATACCTTGAAAAATAATTAGTAGTTACGGAAGAAAGGATATTGAATGTAGTACAAAACAAATAATGGAATAATTAACCAATGCTTAAAAAAACATTGAATAAACATGAATAAAAAAATATATATACACTGTATAAAAGTGTATAAAATGATGAATAAATCAATTATCAAGTAAACTTCTGAAACATGGAGAAGGAGAAGAAAGATAAACAAAGTATTGAGGTGGCAGAAATGAGAGTATAGCAGGAAATACTAGATTAGATATAAAAAAACAATACTGGGATTACGTCAAGAATTAAAAATAATAAGAATAGTCGATGATATTTTCAATTGCAGAATAAAATGGAAGAAATATATGGTGAGAATGGACAAAGATTGGTAATACAAAATTGCTTTATTATGTACTCTTGGATGTTTAAGGGAACAAGATCCAGGAAATGATGGAGCGAAAGACAGAATGCTACCTAAAACGTGTGTATGGATTAGCAGTGTTGTGTTATTCTATAGGCAAAAAGAGCAATTTGCTTGGAATTCCACCAACAGGAGACCATAAACCAATCTTTTATAAACTTACTGTAGTAAGAATATCGAAATTTAAATTTAGAGCCATATCTTTAGACCATAGATTGTCGGCGTGGTGCAGTCACAGCGCCGAACTTAATATTGAATATATTAAAATGGTTGCTATTCAATTTTTATTGAATTACGGTATCAACAAATGGAAGATAGGAATGAAATAATTTAGTTTAATCAGATAGGCTTTAGTTATATAAATTAATATAAACTATACTAGAGCCTTCCTATAATCATAAATTTTTCATAGTACGAAGGATTCTTTAAAGATAAAGATTTTATTTCTGTAAGATGCAAATCTATCATTCGAACTTTATCACGTTTTTGTTCAAATTCTGTATTGACGTAATTAATGTTTTGTAATCTATACAGTATTTTTCTGATATTTTGCATTATATCAAAGGCTTACATTAAATTATAATTATGAAAACAAACTCATAAACATAAAGGGTACATTCACATAAATATTATCTTATAATCAATAAAATTATTTATTAGATATCATAAAACGTGTGTTTCATTTAAAAAAAAAACCTTTGATATTCGGTTTTTTAATGAAAGCATTTTATTATACTTTATGAAAATAATGTAAATAATATAGATAATTTGAAAATGTTACGTAAAAATCAGCTAGAATTGAAATAAAATTTCAGCAAATATAATTTGGATTCTGTTTAAAATAGATTTTTCTCATTTTTTCCCCTCTTCATACGATTTTCCTTAATTTTCTTATGACCTTCGTCGAGGAATTTTTATATACCATAACACAATACGTTTTATGTTTTTTTCATTACTTATATTGTCTTTATCGTATAATTAGTATAAATAATATAATAATTAAATAATAATTATAGAAATATATATTTAAAAGAATCAAGTATATTTTATTGATATAAAATACAGTATTCTAATAACAACCTTATAAACTTTAGGCTTTTTTTTTTTTTCCTCTTATATTTCAATGGAATTTTTATATCTATTTTTCTTTCTTTAAACAATTAAAAATAAAATAAGTATATTTTATATCACATTTCTAACAGCTTAATGGATAATTTATCTTATTTTTACGATTATTAAAGTCATAAAATGCAATAATTTTTGCATGTATTTAATTTAACTAATTAATTTGAATAATCATTTACAAATAATATATTCTATGTTATATTATTAATTTTTTGATTATTTTATTTTCAGGATTATTTAAGAAAGTTTTAATGGAAGGAATTGTATCAAAACAATACAAAACAGATAACTCATCCTTAAACAAGATAAATGTTAATTATATATTTAAATTATTAGGAGATATACTTACAAATGTATATGCTAAAATAGTAGTCGTTATTTGCTTCATTGCTTATTTAATTATATCTATATATTACATTCGTAATATACATATTGCTTTCTATTATACTTCCGCAATGCCTGATTATTCGTATTGTAAAGAATATACTTTATATAGTTATAAATATTTTATGGAATATCCTTTCAGTATACAAGTTGCTTTTAATCAAAGCATAAATTATTCTAACGAAACTGTGCAAAACGATATAGAAAAAATTTTAAGGAAAATGGAAAATCTTCAAAATATGTCAAATTTGACTGATTCGTGGCTAAGAGCCTATTTAAAATTTATCAACAATAAAAATTCTTGGTTTTTCTTAAGAGGACTCAATGTCAGCCAATCGGATGATTTTATTACAGGACTTCGTGATGTTTTCCTGAAATTTAAATGGGCTGAAAGATATCGAAATGATGTTATTTTCAGCGAAGATGGAAGAGAAATAATTGCATCTAGATTCATATTACAAAGTAAAGATTTAACGAATTTTACAGCAGAAACTCAATTAATGCAAAATCTTCTTCGAGTTACAGATTCTTCAAAATATTCTATATTTGTAAACAATATACTATTTTTTCTTTACGATATGAATAGCGAATTAGAATATACGACTATACAGTGTTTGTGTGTTTCTTCCTTTTTTGTAATTATTGTATTTTTTGCATTAGTACCTAATTTAAACTGTTCTATTTCTATTGCTCTTACGATTGTATCCATTGAATTGGGAGTAATGGGTTATATGACACTTTGGAACGTTCCTCTAAATATTATATCGATGATCAGTTTAGTTTTATCTATTGGATTTTGTGTAGATTATTCTGCTCACATATCTTATTCGTATATTTGTAAAAAAGATGAAACTCCAAACAATAAATTAAAATATACATTAAAAAATGTAGGTTATCCTATAGTACAAGGATGTACATCAACTACTATAGGAATACTCATCATGTCTTTTGCACCGTCGGATCTTTTTGTAATTTGTTTTAAAATTATATTTTTAGTTATGGTAATATCTTTATTTCATGGAATTTTATTGCTTCCTGTTATTTTAACTATTTCAGAAGAATTTATGCAACGTTTTTGTAAAGTAAAAAATAAGTTTATACAAAGAACAGATTTTATTAGTTTACCTCAAAATGATACTTTGCATTCATTTATGTAAGAAATACATGTTTAAAATTTTACACTGTTTCCTGAAAAATGTATAAATTTTGCTGAGTGATGTTAACAATAAAGTTTTTTTTTTTTTTTACTGTTGTTTGTATAAAAAGTGAATTTTATTAGTATTAAGAACGAGAAAATTTAATTAATAAAATTAAAATATTATAACTAAAATTGTTAATTTTTATTAATCTAGAAGACCCTAAACTTTTCGAAATAACTAAGAATATGATCTATAAACCTTGTGACTCCCTCACTATATATCAGGCAATGCTTACTTATTTAATAATAAATTAAAAGTATCAAAAGAATGAGAAATCGAGGAAGGGGATGGAGTATCCAGGTTTTATGATGGCCTATTATTTTCCACAGGATCCTAGAGAATAAGTATAAAATGTTTGATTCAGATTGGGCAAAAGTTTAGAAGTGTTTAGGGAGCAAACAAATAGACATTCCATTATATTTTATAATAGTTGTATCCAGTAATATTTACTATAAAATTTGATAGGAAAAATTTTAAAAAATCAATTTTGATTAGTAAAAGATTTTTGGAAAATTTCTGTTATTTCTTTTTTTCTTTGGAGGATGCCAGAACTCCTTGGATTCCCTTTGAGTGTGACAATGTAAATAGTTTCGATTCAGTCCCTTGTTTATTCTAAGAAAGACTAATATCAAGAAACGAGTGTCCATACGTGTCTTGTAACGTGACCTTCGTTTCTTCGAAAACGTTCGAATAAATACCTTCATAGTTACAGTTAATTTGCACGCAGAAATGAATATCTAAGTTAACGACATTTAATCGAATGTACTTTTTCGTTTATCTTTCTTACGTAGACCTTGTTTATAAACTGGACGTTATACTGGTGTAGTTTCTGATTATCAAAGAAAGAAAGTCTTAGTCAAAAGATAGAACAAAAAATTCTTTACTTTCACCAGATGAAAACAAAGATAATTATAAAAAAAATAATTTATTAATTCAAATTTAGTCTACTTCCCGAAAGAATTTAACCCAAATTTTAGTTTATAAAGTATCAAACAAGTAAATACTCTGAATCTATTTTTTTCTTAAACAGACATCTTTAGTCTATCAACAGAAATGCACTTTTAGCTATGCTCCTCATCAGTCTGTTTATGGAAATTATTACATTGATGCGTATGTTAGTCTCAAAGACCGAAAACACTCAATGAGGGAAAAAATCGATTACAATGCATTTTGATTTCTCAGATCCAGACACAACGCAAATTCCGTATCGTCCACTTCACTTTCAAATTGCGTAAAACGCGTTTTGAATATTCAATAAGATCACAAAGCGAAATTTGTGTCGATTTTCTTTTAACAATCAACAAAAACGCGATCTGGCAATGTGAAAATTCCGCCATGCATTGTGTGGTCGTGTTCTCGAAATTGTTATCTGCTAAAAATAAATTCGAATAAATTGATTATTTTATTATTCTTACGTTGAAAATTATAAGTTTTGAATTTATTTAACTGCTTAAATATCAAATTATTTATAATAATCTTTCATTCTCAAACGTAAAGTCTTTTTTTTTAATTTAAATTTATTTTAAAACAAAGCAATTCTAAAAAGGAAATTTCAAAAAAGAAAAAAAAAGTGTATATTTCTGATAGAAAACAAACAGACAAAAGGTATAAACCCAAATAATTTAAAATTATTCTATGTAAAAGTTGCATTGATTTGAGAAACGTGCTTTTTCTTTTGTACAATAAAGGTTTATTCCAAGGTTTGTTCACGCAAAAAGTATTAAAGTATTATTGAAATCTGCGAAGATCTCTATTATATTTTTCTCTCTGTACGTTATAAATAACAAATTCGTTAAGTAAATTGTAAATATTTTCTAATTATTGACAACAAAATGTTATTAATATGTATCAATAACAGTAATGCTACTTTATCGGTAATAACAGAATATTTCCTATAAAGTCGTTAATGCGTGACCATGATATCCATAATACAGAGTAGCACTTATTTATTTTTTATGGACACTTATTGTGTCCATAAAAATAAAAATGAACTGAAAATAACAATCAATACGTTGGTTTCGGACTGAAAATACACGATTTCATTAATTCATTTTAAAAACAGTTTAAAATTATTATTAATTAGATAAAAAAAAAATTTGAAATTTGAATTTTTAAAACATACATGGTTAAGGAAAAATAAGTGAAAAATGAAAATTTTATCTCAATTTCCTATTATACAAAATTATATAGTGATTCAATTAATCATTTTACTGATATTATCTATTAAATTCTATTTTGATCTTCAATTATTTTTAATATTATAAGTTTACATAATATATTTTAATACAGTATCTCCTCGTTATATTGTACTTGTCGGGAGACAAAGAAAAAACGCGATATAACCGAGTACAAAAAATTCTAGGCTTGTACAAAGCAGATTATACATGCTATGAAATCCCTATCCTCTACTCTTTCATCGGCAAATGTTTCTGATATAAAATAAGCTTAGTTTTGCAATACTGAATTTTATTCGTGGTTATATCGTATAAGTAAACATAGATACCACGAACTACCATTTAACATTATTGTTTCTTTAATAATGATATTTAAATACAAATACTGTCGATATAAAAACTAATAAATAAATAACTTTTAATATCAAAATAAAACATATTTGATGATCGATCTGTCCACGTGTTTGTCCACGAATCGGCGATATAACGAAGAACTATTATATATTTGTTTCGTTCAATGTCGAAAGTTCGAAGTTTTACGAAAGAAAATTAATATATTAAAATATTTTTTTGATATATATTAAGCTACAATAGGTATTGTATTTTCCACATTCATTTTATTTAACGATCAAAAGTTGTTCCTATAAAAAGATTTCCTTTTGTTTAGATTCACTTTTTCTAAATATAGATATCATGAATAAATCCATTCTATCTGGCTTGTATTTTTGTATTTTAAATTATGATTATTAAGTATATTTATATAGAAAATAATTATTCTGTGAATTGTTTACTTCATTTTATTGTTTTAGTTTCAATTCGAAACACCCAAAAAAAGGTGTTTTTTTCATATAGATATTAAAACCAAGTAACCCATATACTGATCGTAGCGAAATTGACGTTGTTATAATGTATAATTAATGCTTTAAATATAGTTGAATAATGTTATTTATTAAAGAAATTAATATACCTTATTAAATATATGCATTAGAAAATGAATTAAATAAATTCTACTCCTTAGAAACAATAAGCAGGAGAACTTTAATTTTTTTTTATTATTGAATTTAAAATTTAAAAAAAAAAATGCTCAAATTTTATTGATTTTTAGAATTATGTTTTATTTGTGTGTTTATATTGTGAATTTATTTATAAATTTAAATATAAATTTCATTGTTATCGTCACAGGCAACAATCCTTTATCTCTTACATTGCTTGTACATGTATTTCATAGGCGTTCATTCTTTATTTAAACACAATGAATATAAATATTGGAATGACAAAGATTATACATCTACCTTATTTCTAATATTCTAACAATAGCATTCAGTTAAAAATTATAACGACTTGAAAATGTTTAATACTGACTACTTCATAAGATTTGCTTTGTTTATTATAATTGTATGGGAAGTATGCGGTAAGTAAATATAATTCGTTAAAAATTTAGTTTTTTTTTTTTATACAGTCACATTAGAATTTTTTATATAATTAAATCTTATTCTTAATTTTTAAGTATAATAAAAATTATCTGCGTTGTTACTTTAGGTAATTTAAACGAGAGCGTGTGGAAGATATCAGGACTGGGCGTAAGTAGTAAAAATTTTACTGAAAATTCTTCTTATTATTAATTATTCAATTTGTTTAGATTCCAGGTTTTTTACGTTATGATTCATCTAAAAACATTATTACTGGAGGTGAATTATTTAAGACGTTTTGTGTAATACAAGAAAAATTGCAATTTAAGTAAGTTATTTTTAATTACTAAACGTAATTGATTTGTAGTAATCGTTAGAAATGATATATTATTTTTTTTCTAAATCAGATACGAATTAGTGACTCCAATTCCAAAAAGTTTTGGAAGAGAACAAAACGGAAAATGGAACGGTATGATCGGACAACTTTCTAATAGAGTATGTCACCTAATTTGTTTTATAAATTTATATTTATCCGAGGGATTCGATACACGAGCTTCTCCCACTTGTTTAAAAGCATTTCTTACGTTTCATCGATTCTCAATTCCATTGTTTTTATTTATTGGGCTACAATTTAAAAAATTTGTAAACCTATAAAGTCCCACTGTCTTCTGCTCGTCTGTTCGTCTGTCCGTTGTCTTTCCTTAATCTGTAGAACCGAGTTAAATGAAAGACAATATCAGATATGAAACAAATTAGAAGAAGGAAGCCCCAAATTAATATACTCCAGTTTGTACGAACCTTTCGTACAAACTGGAAGTCATGTTATTGAATATTTCAATTTTCTCCTGAAAGGAGTTAGATGACCGTCACGACTCGATTGCTAAAGGAAAAGTATGATGTACAGGGAAAGACACTGCTAATTTAAAATTGAGAGTATATATTTTAAATTAAATAATTTAAAACATATTAAAAATTTCAGCCCCGCATTGTGACGATGTCACAATAAAATAATTGTTTCACTTCATTTTACCGGTATTTTAATTTTTTTGTGCCGGAAAGACGTTTGCGATAATTTTAAGTATATTATAATATATATTATTCATACGGTAGAATAATTTTTATGCAAATACAGTCGACCCCTCTATAACATTGTTGATTTTTCCGTTTTATATGAATTCCATATTGTACGAGTCACTTAGATTTTACAAATACGTGATCCGTTCACTGCCCGGCACACGTATTTGTAAAATCTAAGTGACTCGTACAACATGGAATTCATATAAAACGGAAAAATCAACAGTGTTATAGAGAGGGTCAACTGTACAGTAGTGTGATTATTTTTTGTATAAACTATAAATTTTTCAAACTATAATTGAAAAGTTAATTGATTAATTAATTGATTAAATAATGAAAATTGTTTATTATTATTATACTAATCATTTACCATTTAATCACGAGCTTAATTTAATACAATGCAATAAATTATAGAAAAAAGTTGCCAATCTCTGATCTACTGGATAAACCTTTACTTTGATACTAATAGTTTTAACATTTATTAGGCCTATATAATATAGTTTTATTTCTATAATAATTATTTTCACATTAATTATAAAAGAATTTTAAATACTTTATTGAAATAGGAAGCTGACATTGCCTTTGTTCCTGTATTTATTACGTACGAACGTTTTATGGTTGTCGATTACTCGTCACACGTAAGTTTTTCCCATATGAGCTTCTTAGTAAGGACTCCACAAGAGAAACCAAATTGGACTTCACTTATAAAACCATATTCTAAAGAAGTGAGCAGAATACTAATTACTTTAACAATATAAAATTTACAGTAAATTATATATAATTATAAATTAAATATAATTTCAGATGTGGTTAGCTATTTTCTTATCATTAGTTGTTTTTACTATTATATTTTATTGGATCATAAAAATGGATTTTAAGTTATCAGAAAACAATAAAATATGGCCAAAATCAAAAGTGTTTTGGCTTCTTTTTGGATCTCTCACACTTAAAGGTACTGTACAACAGTTAATATTATAATAGTATGACATTGCTTGTTATAATAATACATTGTTTTACTGTCATTTTAGGGGCTGAAATAAATTCACTAAGAAAATTACCGTCCAGATTAATAATCGGGATTTGGTGGTTATGTATTGTAGTTCTTGTATCAAGTTACAGCGGTACTTTAATGTCGTTTTTGATGTGTCCGTTTCTTGAAAATGTACCAAATGATTTTGATGAACTGGCAACGGCAGTTACAAAAGGAGAGTATTCTTGTGCTATTCCGAATAATCAAGCAATGATAAAAATATTCATGGTAAACACAATATTTACAATTAAAAGTTTTATAGATTTAAAATTTCTTAGGTATAGCAACAGTGCGCAATTGATTGCATTGCAAATCTTTCCAGAGTATCATTGAAGTGAATTAACATGGTAGTAATGAAATTATTATGAATGCTACAATAATCATAATGAAAAATTATATAAGAGAATAATTATCAACTGTAGCTATATGATAAGCCTCAACTTTTTTTTTTTAATTATAAATAGTATCACTTGTGTTAGACTGAATCAATACACACACAAAAAAAAATAGGAGAAACTTTTGATATAATCTATCAGTTAGAATCGAGATAGTCTGAACTTATATTCAAATTAGTGCCTTAGCAATAAATAATTGCTTAATGAAAAATTATTTGGTCGAAGTAATATTTTGAAATAATTATAATCATTATTCATTTTTAGGAAAGTAAATCAAGAGGTGGAAGAATTTTGGCAGAAAACATTAACAGAACGAAAGGCTATTTAGTACAAGATGCTTTCGAAAAGGTTTTAAAGGGAAAATTTGTTTATATAGGCAATGAATATGCATACAAAAAGCTTCCTCAATATGGAGTTGATAATTTCATTTTATCAGAAGATTCTCTAGTTACTTTTACCATGGCGTATGCTATAAGAAGAGGATTTCGCTACAAAAAGGAATTCAGCGAAGTGTGAGCTTTTGTTCATATTTTTAAATGCATATATATTTTATTTTTAAAATAATAATCAGGTGAATATTTGTATATTTCAGAGTATCTCATATTTTTGAATCCGGAATTATTCAGCATTTGGAGAAAACTACTCATCATCGACGTAAGAAAGAATCTGCAAATATTCGTTCTTTACATATGGAAGATTTGTTCAGTCCTCTTTTATTATTATTACTTGGATATGTATTGAGTTTACTATGCTTTATTGTAGAAATGTTTATAGGAAGAAATAACAAAAGAAATATTCGTTCTAATTTGTAAAATTTCAAAATGCATTGTAATACTGCAAAAATATTTAAAGTACATTTATTTTCAAGTTTTAATATGTTAAGCTACCGTATTACGTAGAATATATAAATACATATTTGTTCTTGTAGGATTTAATATAAATCAAAATTAATTTTTAAAATCTATTATTAATTGTTATAATTAAAGACGAATCACATCACTAAAAATTATTGTGTGATATCTCATATTGAAATTATAATTTAATTTAATGTATGTAATTTTAATTAATGAGATTTACATAATAGTAAAAAGTAAAAAATTGTAAAATTAGATTTGTTAGAATTTATATATAAAATTTTTCTTAATGCAGCCCAGGGATGGCTAATTTTACAGACTTATCACACCTTGTGTGATAAGTGATGAAGAGGAGTTAGAGATCAAGTGGAAAAGTATATGCTTTATTGATATCGAAAATGCATTTCGAATTTATAGTCCTTCATCAGTCCAATCACCAAGCCTAGATTACTATACTATTAAAAATCATAAAAGTATTTTATAATCACAATAATATTTTTAATTATTTTTACTAAACATTTAAACAGTAAACTATCTACAAGAGTTTTTTTCAAGAATGTATACATAAATAATTGTGTTCCTAAAGAATTCTTTAAAAAACATTAAATAGCTAAGTCTTTGGGAAAAGAATCTGTTGGAAGCACGATTATGACATAAGTACAGTACGTACTGATAATACTGCAATATACTGTACCAAGACCTTGTTAAATATATTTCCATTTGTTTTTGATGTATGTAGGTTTCTGTTTCTATAATAAAAATTTACAAAATTAGCTCGTTATTTCTAATTTTAAAAAATCCAGCAACGATTTGCTTAACTTACCCGGCAACATTTGTTGGTGCTATCTGTTGTAATATTTTATTTAAAAACTTTTGATATTTTTAACTATTATAAAATAGCAAAAAGTTTAAATTTGACGGTAGAAATTGATTTTATAAAAAATTGTAAATTCTAATAACGAGTAAAATTGTCATTAAGTCAGACTATTACACACGACCGTCTTTATCCCTTTACCCCTTGACCTTTAATCATCAAATTTAGAGCTATTAAGCTTCAAAGAATGCGAACAAAATCGTGCCCCTCTACACACACCTAAACTTAGCCTACACACTAATATCCATAGATACAGAAAAACAAAAACCCTAATTTTTTGCATTTCTCGACGTTTCAAGGTGTCCTGAAACCAAACATGTAAAAATTTTTTGAGGGGAGTTTATTTTCACTGATGGCCCTACTTCCCCTCATGGTGAGCATCATGGTGAGAAGAATGTCTTCACACGTATTGTCGGCGATAATTTGAGGAATTTGGAATAGGTTCGCGTATAATCTGAAAAGTTGCTAGAACAGTCTGCATTTGCTTTCAAATCGTCTTTAAATCATAGGTAACGAGTTATACACTGAAAAGTAGAGAGTATTGTTAGTCTGGAAAAAATTGCCTACACACTCTACACTCTATGGACAGTGAGGAACTTGTTTAGCAAGCTAATCGTGTTGATACACGATGGACGACAGAGTAGAGTTGGACATGGCATTGACATATCTAGACTTTCCTCGAAAATTTCCTAGGATTTTTCGATTCATCCAGATCCCCAAGAATGGTAGGTTGATAGCTTAACCTTTCGGCCATTCGGCCGTGGAAAATTCTGTGTTAAAAGCACTAATAATAAAATTCAAACTCTTCTTGCTAATTATATAGAAAATATTTTATTTTTGAAAATTCTATTTTCGTGAAAGAAAATCTCTTCTGGAAATGTAACTCTCAAAAGTTTAGTTTGAAGAAATAACAATGAAGTACTGTATTACGAATAGGATAATCAATCGCAATCAATTTAATTACACATTTGTTGTGAAAATTCCTTAATAATAAAATTATTCAATAATTGGTTTCAATTTAGGATGATAATTTTGTACTGATTGAATTATGTAAATATAGTGATCTAACAGATAAACTAGTAGTACATAAATTATTAATAGAAGGACTGTGCAGGGTAGAAAAAACAATTGAGACTAAATTTTTGCCATTGAATTTGTAGTGTTCCTCTAATCCGGATAAAAACTAACTGATGTAAATGATTTAGACGAATAACGAATTTTCAAATGTGTTAGATTTTTCACTTGTTATGATAAACCCTTCCTTAAGATAATCTTTATGGTTATATAAATCAAATACTATAATATAATAAATATTAAAACGAAAACCATATAAAGAGTTTAGTTATTTCAACCTACCATTGTCACGTTTATCACGACACTCGATTTGGTATCTTAAAAATTTTTTCTCTACCTCTAAGAATGTCACCTCTAAGAAACTGTTCCATTCACAACCGAATATCAAACGGACAACTGACAANAATGAAAACCATATAAAGAGTTTAGTTATTTCAACCTACCATTGTCACGTTTATCACGACACTCGATTTGGTATCTTAAAAATTTTTTCTCTACCTCTAAGAATGTCACCTCTAAGAAACTGTTCCATTCACAACCGAATATCAAACGGACAACTGACAAGGATTCAAATTTCGTGAAAAACGGACCAAATATTTAAATTCGGCAATCTCGAAAATCACTTAAATCATATTTTGTGCAGGCTGGTAACGTCGTATTTTGGATTTCCAATTCCAGTGTCACCATACCGCTGGTACGATAGCAATTTGGGACCGTTGAGGAAGTTGGTAAAAGTAATTCCAGCAAAAGTAGTCTTTAGCAGCCTCCCGGAAGAGAGGACGGTCAACGACTACTACTTAATACCGGTCTATCATTATTTGAAAAGTGATCCGTGTTAGACAGGTTGCGATGGCTCCACATGTGATCGAGTTGCTAACCTTCATGTTCGAAAGACTTCATATAAAATTTGTTTAAATAAAAAATCTAAAACTGTGAGAGTAATTGCTTTTATATTATACCTACACAAAAACATATCTCACAGAGAATTATTTATTAACCGTAACGAACGTTTTCAACCTTTATCCAACATTTTTTACATATTATTACATTTTACATATTCTTTTATTTTGTTATTTTAAATTGTATACATATTAGTGTAATTTATTCTTTGGTTCAAATAGCTGAACATTCCAAAGAATTTTGTATTTTAAATGTGTTCTTAACTCTTCTATACAAAAAAGAACAGTTATCAATATTTCATGATTTTTAAAAACCTGAAGATGGCCTGTAGAACAAATTGAAAACGTTCGTTACAGTTAATAAATAATTCTCAATGAAATAATGTGCTTTTGCGTAGATTAAGAAGCATCTAACTGAGTATTAATCAAGTATTTTATGATATAATAAAGTGTTTATATTTTTGCAACAGATTGTATAAACTATATGGGAAGTATGTTCTCGTAAACATCGCGTTTATAGAAAAATTATTGGACTGCAATTTGAAAAACTTGTAGACTTATAAATTTCAACTGTCGTCTGTCTGTATGTTTGTTTGTCTGTCCTTCCTCAATCTGGAGAAAGATGTTAGAAACATGAAAGGCGAGAACATATATGAAAAGTATTCCAAAAAAGTTATAAAAATTCAATGGAGTCAGAAATTTCTTCTTTTGTTTTCATCTTACATAAAATGTAAAATTACGAAAAAATTATATTTTTCTTTCTCTTCTGACTTTCGGATAATATAAAACTTCAATTTTTTAAAAAAACAAAAAATATATGAAAAGCTTTGGGGCCGTTGGCCATGATTAACTATATACGAACTTCTGATTTGGCATGATTGTCACGTCACTTCGATTCAAAATTTTCCCCTGAACGAAGTTAGCTGGCGCGGCGCTATTGCTAATAGAAAAAGTATGATGTACAGGGGCGAGACAACACTAAAAGAATTGAGAACATTGTGACGAAAAGTTGCAAGCTGGAATTTTGACGTTGTCACAATAAATAATCGCTCGTTAGAATTGTTTTGGTTTATTTGTTAACTGCAACGCGACACGTGAGCGAACTGCCGGAGAGGATGCATCCCGGGAAAACTTGTATGAAAAGCTGGTCTCTAATTAGGTGTTACTAATGTGAAGCAAACCCGGTAAACTGCACTTGGCCAGCCCGTTGGCCACGCTCGAACTCGTGACAAACTACCGGTGTCAGTTGTTTTATTCATTTGGCACTTATTAAAAACGTCTCGTTTAGAAATGAAAAAATTCGAGTGGCAAGTGCTACCTTTTGCAGTAATCAAGTAGATGTAATTTACATTTTTTAAATTTATATATTTTTTTGTAAGAATTATATTTAGTTTACGATTTTGTTAAATCTTTTGCAAAAAGAGAACGCTACGTGTAAATCAGGGATGTAGGACATTATCTAAATTAGAACCATGTAAACGTAATAGCCGAGTTTCGTAGCAATTGGTCGAACGGTCTAGAAGTGTATAGCGAACAAACAAACAAACACCCTTATTTATATATTAGATTCTGACGTAAGAACATTTTCAGATTAAACAAGAATTATTTTTAATATTTTAAAATTTCATACTAATCAATATCGTAACGTTTTTTTTAAAATTATAATTAAAATTTTCTAAATATGATTAAATTTACTTAGTTACTAAATTCTCAAATTTTCATTTTTAAGTGAATGTCTTAACTTAGCTCTCATAAAAGGCATTTCGTTATAAAAGTAAATAGAAAATCATAATAAATATATTTAATTTCAATAACTAAATGGAATTCTTTTATGCAGGAAGTCATGTTTGATATATCGATCACAATAATACACAATAATAGTACAGTAATATCAAGAAAGGGTCTGTCTCTCAATAAAAATCAATGAAATTCTTAGTAAAGTGAAATTTTTAATTTAAAATATCTTAATAGAAATTAAATTTAAAATTCATTATTATTATTTCACGCTTTGTTATATTTATTATTTTTATTTATATCATATAATAAATATTTTAATTTATTATAAAAGTTAATTAAGTCAAATAATAATAATTTATTTTTTCGTTTAATATCTTTGAAAATATTTAAAGACAAAAGAAAATCAATTAAGAATGTTAATTNTGGGGTGGAGGCACGGAGGAGTGAAGAGGCTTAATCCAGCACGAATGTTGTTTTTCGGGTTTAATCCTGACCGCGGTTTTAATTCGGTGTTTCGGTTTTAATCCTGGGGCACGGTTTTAACGGGTTGGAGGACGACTTGGTTGGGCGGACTTTGAATGACGACTTCTGTAGAGGGACTTCGGATGACTACTGACTTCGGGATCGTTTTCTTTTCTCTTTTTTTTTTCTCTTGGGTTTTTTCCATGAGGTCAGGTGATGGCCTTTAACGGTCGCACGTCCAATATGTCTTTTCCCTCAAAAGTTCCTGGTGACACATCCCTGACTAACTTGATCCGACTCAACAAGGAACAAACTCCGTGGGAAATAAATTTTATGGCTTTTAGCCTAACTCGATAAAACGTTCGAATTTAACCGATTATATTTTCCAATAATTAAAATGTAAAATAATACTTTATTGTGGGTCTGTTCGTCCCTCACAACTTCATTCAATATATTTTATCTTTAATCCTCAA